AAAAAAAAAAAAAAAAAAAAAAAAAAACTTACACTAACGCAGAGTTCACACAATCAAATTCCTTTTAAATTATCGTTCAAAAACACACATTTGATGCGATTTTTGTATGAAGCCTTGTCACAACTTTCAAATTGCTATGTGATCAAATTCTCAATTTGAAAAAAAAAAAAAGAAAGAAAGAAAACACGCACAAAATAGTGCGTTCATACAAAGATTTGACGCAAATTTGAAGCTATTTTGAAAGGACTTTGATCGTGTGAGCTGACCGCTAAGTCATCAATGACAACCTCAGGCCTTCTTGTCCCACGTCCCACAAATGTTGCACGCCGTATAGTATACAAACTCACCTGTCCAACTCACAAAATCACCTATCCACCATTACTTACCTGTTCCAATCACCTAACACGAGCTCAAATGTCACACCCCTGAAAAAAACAACTCACTGACCCCATTAACCATTACCTACCTCATTGTCCTCAAACAAAATGCATATATAATATTTTTTTAAAAATAGCTAGTATAAAGAGTACTTGTGGAGTTGTAGCCTACACTTAGTAAACATACAAACAAGAACAAAAAAATTATTGTTTAGTAATCATGCTGCAATTGTCAACCTTACAACTTACCTCGTAATGGCAGAAATATTTAATTTTGACGTACTTGTGCTAGAAAGTAATTTAATCGTGAAGAAACGTCCGTGCCCACACAGTAACACAGTTGTTTCGAAGTAACGACGAATCCAAAATAGGCCTGGCTGATAAAATTATAGGAACATTTATACCGTTACGCGTCACGGAGTTAAATTACGTCGCAGTATAAGGGAAATCTTTAGACTTAAAATATAGGCCTAGGTCAAGGATACATGTGTGAAGGCCCGCACAGTCTAGCCAGGGGGTTGCACACACGCAGTCCCATTTACTTTTCGAAAAACAACACGAATCTATAAATATTTTAGATATTTTTCAAGCAAAATAAATGAATAACTTTTTTTTCCCCCAGGCCTAAAAACCGGGTGACGACCGCAAGAAAAAAATATAAAAGATTGATTTTACTGAGTCACTTCTACTTCTGAATATTATGAATTATGATGCTAAGTTATAGTTATAGTTATAGGCATAGGCCTCCATATCCTATGCCTATGTCTTAATGGACTGGGTAAGACAAAGGGGTTTTCCGTTAAATGATTGTGCCCCACTGTCTTCCCCGGCAAGTCACACTGATTAAAAGCAGTTTCCAAAACTCCGTTGTCTTAATTTATCCCTAAGACACTATATGTAATAAAATATTATGAGAAGAAAACTTTTCATCTACACCGAAAAAATTAAAAATTTTAACTGGAATAAACATTTTTCTTTTATAAATGTGTGAAATGTGAAATAATTTCTCGAAAGGCTAATTTAAACTACGTCCTTATATGCCATATACATTATTTGTTTGTACAAATTATAGAATAATACTTTTACTAAAATAACATTGCAATCATTAAAAAAGAACATTTGACTACAATGAGTAGCTTTAACTTTAAGTTTAAGCTTTAACTTTAGGTTTAAGCTTTAACTTTAGTTTTAGTCTTTAAAATAACTTTAAACTTTAACTTTAGTTGTTATAATATAGATTATAGATATAGTAAGTATAAGTATAGTTTATAGTTATAGTTTATTTTTATAGTTTATATCATTTGACTTTGTAGTTATAAGAATAAGAGCTTATTATAATAAATTATATTATTAGTATATAATATATTATATCATATGCAACTATGACATAACATAGTTAGTATAGTGATAAGTATAGTCATGGTAATATAATATAGTATGGACTAAACTGAGCAAATCTCAAGTTGGTGGTCTGGAGTTCAATACCAGCCAGAGCCCAGTCAAGCAAAAACACCACCAGCACCCCGGGTGGATGGGACTCGTTAGCCTTGGATGGCAACTTATCTAAGAGAAGGAAACTCTTAAATCAAACCCGGAGATGGAGTCCCGAAAGGCGGATAACATTGATACAATATACAATGAAACATTCCGACAACTCCTGCGACGTCACTGGTGCCAAGCTGTATCATCCATTGATGTTCCCTTGGATTATCCAGCGGCGTGGAGAGAAGCGATTTGCTGTTGGGAACCAGCTTATAATCCTTGAAGAATAATCCCATGCCATTTGGATTTCGTCCTCCGAAGCCCACTCCATCGTCACATAATGTAACGGACAGATACCAGCAAGTATAGTCATGGCATAGTATAGGCATAGTAATGCCGCATAGTATAGTTAGTGCTACCATTTTAAAAATCATAATAAAATTTAAATTAAATGTAACAGTAAATAATATCAGTTAACTTTGATTGAATTAACTACACACTAAGTGTTAAGTTGACTAAGTATAACTTACTATACACTATTGTAGTTACTTAGTTACAAACGCTAGTCACCAGTACTAGTACCTACTACTATTATTTCACACTCACATTGGTTGAAAATGGCTTTGACATGCCTTGGCCTTGTTATAATTAAATTTGTGTGGCAATAGTCCTATAAAATGTGCACAACAAATTTATGAAAACAAAATTCAGTCTGTAAGTGCCGTAGGCCCTTAAATAAAAAAATATAAAAAAAAAATTGATAATGATAAGCCTGTAGGTAGGCTATATATTTGAATTTGTTAATGACTATTAGTCTAATGAGTAATGACATGGACACTGACATGATAATCATTTACGGGAACAACATACGGCCCGAGGGCCACATGCGGACCTCCAGCACCCATTTTGGGGCCCGAGAAGTAACGAAATATTATTTTTTATTATTATTTTTTTTAATAGCCTTCCCACCTGTCCTACTTTCTTTCGGCCGGCACACGTTTTTTTAAAAGTATTGAGGCCCGCTCAAGTTTTTTATAAAGTGTTACGGCCACACAAGTTTTTCATACAGTATGCAGTATTACGGCCCGCCATACATTTTGAGTTGTGCAGGGCTGATTTAAATCATTGATAATGTTATTAAAATGCTACAAAACTGTAGTAGTAATTTAAGTCAGTGGGGCCTACAAAGTAGAATTAGTGTAATAAAATAAATAATAAAATGGCAACTAATAAGTGATAGTAAACCTAATACAATAGAGGCTAGAGCCAGAGCGTCAATATTCCAAGCTAATTCTAATATCTACTAATTTGGACTAGGTGTGATTAGTGATTAGTAGTTCTGATTAGCATAACTTCAACTCTCTAATGGACATATTGAATATTAGTTCAAGAAATTAGTGTACCTATATAAATAATATAATACAAAATTGTCTTACATCATTATAATTATACATGAAATACATGGTATCATGTTTTAATGAATAGTGTATTATGTACAATAGGCCTAATCGCTAAACATGTCATCAATTTTCTGTTGTCTGTTGTTTCGAATTTGATTTTTACATAATGTTAAGCATTGGACATGGTTAAAAATGGCTTCCTGCTGTTTGTATGTCATGAGTCATTTGTAATGTCTATATGAATTTCATACAGTAATAAAAAGAAAAAAAATAATTAAGAAGTTTGCAGTTTTGGATATATTAAGGGTTAATAAATAGCTTACTAATAACTAAACTTTACTAATATTCTCTAGTATTTAAAGTAGGTGAATTTATTTAGTTTAGGCAATTTATTTAGGTATCAGTCTAGAAGACCTAATTATTTCATTTATTGGAATTTCCAAATAAATTATTTATTAGGCTAATAAATAATTGAAATTACATTATAATGCTCTTGATTAGTTTGTTATATGGCATAAAACCTCATAGGCCTCTATGCTATGTCCTATGGTCCTATAGTCAAGTAATAAATAATATTAGTCTAGCCTAACTTTATCATATAATTAAAAATAAGACAATGTAGCTTTAGATTTATATTAAGTGAGATTAAACCAAAATTCAGTAAATTATCTTAAACTATCTCTTACTTTTTTTAATGCCTTTACTTTCAAAAGATGGATACCAGTACTTAAATTAAGGCTTTATTCAGAAAATACTTTTTCTAAATAAATTTTGTAATTTTAATTTTTCAGCGCCCATGTTGACCGAGCTCTTGCGCTGACGCGAACCATAGACGAGCCTCTGTTATTGTTTGTCACTCAGGACAAGGAAATACATTTGATGCGGCCTATTCACACCCATATTATTATGCATAAGGTACTGCTATCCGAATGGTTCATCAACTATAAATTTATAGTTACATGGACAAAGGGGCCATCCACAACTGACGTGCATCTAGGGGACTGAGTGGGGGGGTGGAGTGTTAAGATTTGCGACAAAGGTGACAATAAACCAAATGAGCGTTGCAAACTTATGGATTGCCCCTTGCAGCATTTTCTTTATACTTTATACCAAATTATATTTGAAGAACATATTGCATGGATAGCAATAAAAAATATGATATAGCATGCTTGACTGCAATCAATATAAACAACAGAATAGCTAGCACCTTGAGTACAAAAAGGCAAGGAAATGAACATTTCGACTGAATGCCTCACTTTGCAATCACAATAATAAAAAAAAACACTCAAGACATGCAGCTACATAATATACTGCTCTTAATATTCCATATTATTATTATTGCAATAAAACTAAAGAAGGCTTACAAATAGTTTTAACTTGCATTAAAAAAAATATAATAAAATATAAAGAATAAGTTCCTGTGTTTTATTATCTGAACCATTCATTATTTCTTTTTCGTTACTTCATTAATCATACATTCAACCACATATCGTATAGATATTTAATTTCAGTGTTCAGTTGATAAAATTTAGTGAAGCAAACATTTTTATTGAAACTAAACATATACATTATTTTAGCTCAATTTAAAAAAAAAATGTCTCTATCAGATATATAAAAAATAAAT